CCTTCAATGTGACGAAGCCAGAGGATGCAATAGACGGCTACCCGGTTAATGAGCAGGAATTCTGGCACAGGGTACGCTGCGTGAGCCGCAGGAGATTAATGGCGCTTAACATGTCCTTAGATGCGGTTAAGGAAGCTACTGCTTTCTGTGAACCTGGCGATCATCCTTGCGATAGAGGCAGTAGGGCTAGGCTACGCGGTAACAGCAGGAACATCCCAGGACGTGCTTATTTCCACCCTACACGTTCTCTTTGCGCTCTATTGCTCTATTCTCGCAGCCTTCTCCGTCAACAAGGACTCCATGTCCTCGCATTCGACATTGATCCTGCATCTTGCGGTCTTGACGACTCTAGCGACGGCGTTTCTCGGGACAACAGCGATCCTGCCGTCGTATCCCCCTCCCGCGGGGAGCTTCTCGTTGTCTGACTATTCGGGTTTAGGTCTTTGGTATGCCGCCCTAGTCCTGTACATCGCGAGCTGTGTGAACACCATGACTACCCCATGGGGCCCAAATTTGCACTATCCCCCAGAGCACATATACTCTGAGAAGGTCGTCGAGGCGATAACGTCTCGCTACGAAGATAACGTCTGCGGAGTTGTCGGTGCGTTCATCAGATTTCCCATCCGTTTTCGATTTTAATCCGTACCATACCCCCAGGGGCATCTATTTGGGACACCCTCCTGTTCTCCTACACGACCAAGGTCGTCATGCTCGGCAACGTCTCCGAAAGCCTGGACATTGGCGACCTGCCCATCGTCCCCGCCGACATGCGCGCCGTGAACCTCTTCGCACGCATGCGCGCCACCCTCCGCGCGGTGAAGCTGCGCATCGGCAAGTGGACGCCTAAGCCGGGCTCGGGGTGGGAGCTGGGCTACCGCCTGCTCCGCGTTAACGCGGGGCCTCTGGCGCTGCAGATCTCCCTGGCGGCGATATCCGCGTGTCTGTTCTACGCGCCGGCGTATTTCCTCAGGAAGCTCGTGAATTACCTAGAGGTGGACCCCGAGCGCCAGAATAGAGGGTGGGGTTTCGCGTATTGTGCCGGGTTGTCCTTCGTGACCGCTATCCTGTATATTAGTAAGTTCCTGGCATCGCTGCAACTGGTATTGCGTGCTGAAACGTCAATCAAGTGACGGGCCAACTGTGGTCGATATCTACTACCACGCTGCAAGTCAGCATTCGCGTTCAGCTGAACTCCATCTTGTTCGCGAAGACGCTCGTGCGGAAGGACGTCGTTTCCTCGTCGGGCTCCTCGCCCAGTGAAGACAGCGATACTAAAAAGAAGGCTGACCCGTCCCGAGACGGTGACGATGGCGCCGGTCAAAAGCAGGGGGAGGAAGAGGCTGAGTTTTCCAGTAAGGCCCAGGTTATGACTCTCATGACCACAGACGTCGATCGTGTGAGCGAGTTGGCGTTGCATTTGTTCACCCTCGTAGGTGAGGCTTGGCCCCCTGGACCATCTTCAAAGGTGACAGTACTGACTGACTGACTTCCTGATCAGACTCGCCCGTTGAGATTGTCATCGGAACGCTTTTCTTGTATAACCTTCTCGGTAGGATGGCCTCTTGGGTGGCCCTTCTCATTAGCTAAAATGGTCTGTTACCAGGCGTGTCATGTTTCGTCGGCCTTGCTGTAACCTGTTTATTCCTGCCCATGAATCATTTTGCGGGGAAGATAGTCGTGAATGCTCAGGATAACATAATGAAGACTCGGGACGAGCGTGTAGCGCTGATGAACGAGGTATGTGATCTGCCCTTCGCAAGAATCTTCACGTTGGTATTACTCTGCGCCGCAGATCTTGGGCGCGATTCGAATGTTGAAGGTATCTAAACTTGTTATTCCCGAGACTACCGGTAAATAACTGTCAAATCGCAGTTCATGGCTTGGGAGCGAAGCTTCGAAGAACGGGTCATGAAAATCCGAGCGAAGGAACTCAAATATCAAAAGTTGAACTATACCATAGAAGTAAAGTAGTGTTATTCTGAAGTCAGGACATAGTGCTTATCTTCTGTATCCAGACTCTCTTCAATGCTATCTGGTGAGGCGTAGAGTTATTATCAATGACCTGGCCTGTAATAGCAATGGTCAGGAATGGATCACCTATATTGGTAACGCTGGTGTCGTTCTGGCACTTCGCTGTTATAAGGCAGCAGACTCTGACGCCTTCCATCGCGTTCACGTCGGTAGGTACTCTTCGAATCGGCGATAGTATCCATCTCACACAGCTATAGATCACTAGTAAGTTTCTTACCATGGAGATTGACTATCGTCACCCAATTGTTATATAGTCTTATCGGAGTTGAAGTTTGCGCTCAACGCTCTTCCGGAAACATTGATCAGCCTGCTTCAGGTAATTATCGCGATCATATCATGCTCTTTGAGACACTGACATTCGGCCCGTCCTACTCAAGAGTGCCGTATCCCTGCGCCGCATCGAAAACTACCTCAACGGTGCCGAGGTATCGTCCGTCCCTCCTCTAGAAACCGAGAACTATGCCATCGCATTGCAGTCGGCTAGTGTTACTTGGCCGCAAGACCGCTCGCGTTCGTCGAACTGTCGTGTGTCTATAGTGTCTACGCCGAAACAGAAGTTCGTCCTCTCGAATTTGAGCATGAACTTCCCCGTCGGCGAGCTGTCTCTCATTTGTGGCAAGTTGGGATCGGGCAAGACTCTGTTATTGCTTTGTTAGTGAGTCCCGTGTAGTTCCGCTCAGCAGTGCTGATCCTAGGGTGCCAGCATTACTTGGCGAGGCTGACGTCGTCACGGGACAGCTACATAGTCCTCGCTCACCACCTGATGCTATCGCATCCTTCACGGGGGTTGTGCCGAGGGACGAAGATTGGACAGTGCCAGGGGTTTGTGCGTATGTCCCACAGTCTGCATGGCTCAGGAACGCGTCGATCAAGGAGAACATCCTGTTCGGCCTCCCCTATGTGGAGGAACGATATCAGAAGACTTTGGAGGTCTGCGCGCTGGTGAGCGATCTGAAGATCCTCGAAGATGGTGACGAGGCCGAGATTGGAGAGCGCGGCGTAAACTTGTCTGGCGGTCAGAAAGCGCGAGTGTCGCTGGCTCGGGCTGTCTATTCCCGTGCTTCGATCCTTCTGTTAGACGATGTTCTCTCAGCCGTAGATGCGCATACGGCGCATCACCTCTACCATGAATGTCTCACGGGCGAGCTGATGCGAGGCAGGACTGTCATCCTGGTCTCGCACCACGTGCAGCTATGTGCACCAGGCGCTAGCTTCATCGTCACATTGGATAACGGCCGGGTCCTGTACCAAGGGAATTACGAGGACTTCAGGACGTCAGGAGCACTAAGCACTCTTGTACAGTCTAATACGGCGGCTCCCTCGGAGGATAAGGAAGAAGCAGCAGTCGCTACTATCGAGGAAGAGATAGAAGAGAAGCATGCCCAGTCTAGATTCCTGACGGAACTGACCTCTGAGACGAGTTCGATGGCTGCTACGAATACTGAATCTGAAGGAAAAGTTGCGAAGAAGAAGTCTCCCCGAAAACTTGTGGAGGAAGAAAAGAGGGCCGTAGGTGCGCGAGCGATGTCCTCGCATCGTCTGGCCGTTATATTAACATATCCTGCAGGACGGATTGGAAGGAACATATGGGCTACGTATGCGAAAGCATGCGGTGATCATTGGTATTGGATCCTGTTCTGTCTGGCTTTACTCCTGGCCACCGTCAGTCCGGTCTTCGAGAACAGCTGGTTACAGTATGTATTCTGTATATCATGCGCCTTCATATATGTGCCTGTATGTGCTTACAAATGTATCAAAGGATCTGGTCCGGTACAGCGCAGAGCGGAGACGCCCGTAGCCCGGTCTTCTACATCAGTGTATATGCCGCGGTCAGTGTCAAAGACTCCTTTGCTCCTTCCCTGCTAAATTAAAATACAGATCACGGCAGCTGGTAAAGATACTTTGCCGTGGATGATTTTTCATTCTGACGACGATGCGATCACAGGGCTTGTGCTGACAACTGTGAGGTGGTTTGTGCTGTGTCCGTATCACCATCCCCACTCTTCTCTCCAACCGCAACTGACATCCTGACTTATGTTTGTCTAGATCATGGTTCCGTCCGCGCGTCTACTATCTTGTATAAGAGTGAGAGGAAACGGGTATGCGCTCCTCATCGCACACTGACATTTGTGTAGGACTGCTGGAGGCTGTACTCTTCGCTGACATTCGCTTCCACGACACCGTTTCTCGCGGTCGCTTACTCAATAGATTCGGGAAAGACTTCGAAAGTATGGCTAAGTACAGATAAACAAGGGGACTTCATTGACATGATCCCTACAGGCATTGACAGCAGCCTGCCAGATAACTTGGGGCATAGTATCATGCATGGCCTGAATGTCCTGGCCACCCTGATTACCCTCAGTGTGGTCGGAGGAGTGCCCTTCCTGGTTAGTGTCATTATCTTAGGGCTTGTATACTACAGTGGTGTGTCTCCTAATCCCCACTCCAACTTGTCTCTCGATGCTCATCCAGCCTTCCAGTTGCTAAGGTGAGCAGGATAACAGATGAGAACCATCATGTTCTGTAAAGTTAACACTTTGTGGAAGGTTTACAGTCAAACATCCAGAGACATGCGACGATTAGGTGGGTATCATGCCCTCCCCACTCATGATCTTGAAATGACCTTTGTGCAGACTCAGTCACACGATCTCCGCTCTACTCCATTTATGGAGAAACCATATCGGGTGTAGCCATTATTCGTGCCTTCGGAGCCTCTTCTAAATTCCTTCGAGACATGCTGCGTTGTGTGGACACCGTGAGTTCTCAGTGGCTGTAATAGTTGGCTTAGCAAATTGACATTCTGCTCTGAGAATACGACCCCATACTATTGGATGTCGGGAGGTAAGGCGACTTGTGATCAGTGACTTTCCTCCACTGATTTTGGGTCTGCTAGTCAATCGTTGGTTATTGGCTCGGTACAATTTGCTTTCCAGTGCCGTGGTCGGCATCACAGCCTTAGTCGCAATCCTGACGCCTCGAATTGATGCATCGTTAGCGGGGTTCATGCTAGCTTTTGCATCCACTGTCACAACCGATGTATGTTCACATAACACATACCTTCATTAACTCACAACTCATGAGAATGATCTCTAGCTCCTACACTTGGTAATTAGCATGACAATTTTGTGTTCTATGACAATCTCATCCTCTCTATGCTTAGGTAATACGGTTTGTCAGGGTAGAACAATCTATGGTAAGTCAAGGTTGAACTCCCATGGTATTAATCCTTTCTGTACCTGCCCTGATATCACTGCAGGTTGCACTTGAGCGAGTAAAAGAGTACTCTGAGTTACCATGTGAGCCTCCAGAATTCATTGAGCCTCGACCACCGCAATCTTGGCCATCTGCTGGTGAAATCAAAGTTGACAATCTGGTTATTCGTTATGCGGTCAGTTCATATAGGTTGAAATATGCAATTGTTTACTAATGCTCATGTTAGCCTGACCTGCCCAATGTTCTGCATAATCTCAAATTTGAAATCCAGCCGGGAGAAAAGGTGACTAGACAAATACATGATGCAGCTCAATGCTTATGATTTCAATATTAGATTGGAATCCTGGGCCGGACTGGCTCAGGTAAAAGTACACTGGCGTTATCATTTTTCCGCTTTGTGGAAGCTACAGAGGGGCAGATCCTCATTGACAATCTTGACATTTCTCAGATTGGTTTAAGTGATTTACGTAGTAGATTGACAATTATTCCTCGTGAGTAGAGACACTTTACACTGTGCAACTGCTCATTATTTGCCAGAGGATCCTACCATCTTGAGTGGAACACTGAGGTCAACACTTGATGTTTCTGGGCAGTATGATGATACCCAAATTGTATGTCATTAATCCCTGCTCTCAGAAAATTATCTGATGTGGCCCAGTATGAGGCGTTACGCCGTGTGCATCTCATTCCATCCAGTGATACAAAGGATATCGAGTCTGTGAATGTGAATGTTTTCTGTGACTTAGATTCTCCCGTCTCCGAGGGTGGTGAGAATTTCTCAACTGGGTATGTACTAATTAGCTTCCTGGACTCCCCAGGAGTTTGAGCGTGTGTGATTATAGTGAAAAACAACTTCTATGCATGGCCCGGGCTATCCTGAAGCAGACAAAAGTGTTGCTTATGGATGAGGTATGATTAAGTCTCTGGTATGATGGTGCATAGGAATTCTGACTCTAGTTTACAGGCCACTGCCAGGTTAGTATGTCTTTGGTGTGTGTGTTCAAATTGTCTCACTGTCCTGCAGTGTTGACTATGCAACGGATGAGCTCATCAGCAAGACAATACGGCAGTAAGATCATTATCCATAACATTCTCTTCCAGTATGCTCACACATCATGCAGTGAGTTCACCAATGGCACTATCCTGACCATTGCTCATAGGCTTCGGACAGTCATTGACTATGACAGAGTTAGTAGGATGTGCCATGTTCTTTGTTACTTACTGATGGGGTCACACAGGTCATGCTATTAGAAGAGGGTCACATTGTTGAATTTGACACTCCATCCACCCTGTTATCCGATTTGTCTTCAAAGTTTTATGCTCTTTGCAAGGCCACTGGGAAGGATGAGTTTGCAATGCTTAACAAGCTTGCTGGGCTGTAGCATCACCTGGAATCCTTTGGATCTGCTTTATCCAGGGACTACTCATCTGGAAAACATATGATACATTATGTACCATACATGTGGTGATACCAGTATCTATGACAGTGCTGTGAAAGCCAGCTCAGTTTTTTGCTGAGCCGGAACACTAAGGTCGAAAAGCAAAAGGCCAGAAAGTAGACGAAGATACATTGACAGAGACTTTAGCACGCTGAGTAGAGTACTAGGCAAGCGAGTGGTAGATGAGAGCAAGGAACGAACATGGAAGCAAAACATGTGTCGGGTGAGACCGGAAGGTGCAAATGGAAGCAAATACAGTGGTGGCTGTAAGCTTACTGTTGTATGCTCACATGACTGGTTGCTGAATGTCATTTGTGTGACCATGGTGGAAAGCCCCAGCTGGGAACCTGTCCCGAAGCCACCCACCCTCCTCACAGTGCGGTGACCAAGGCTTCCACCATTTATGAGCTGAGCTGACTACACAATAACAGATGCTCAGTCAGCCAACCCCCTGGCCCCGCAATTGCCACTTTAAAGTAATCAAGGCCAGGCCATGGCCTTGTTTCCAAACAGGTCCTGAACACCGGTGGCCGCAGGCACCTGTCTAGTTGTGAGTCATCCTCATGCGCAACTTCCAGCACTTCCTCCCCTTAGTCTCCATCAAATTACCAAGTTTGCAGACATAATCTGTGACCATGAGGCCAGTATCAGTCAGTGAGTGGCTGGAGTTCATACACACGTTACCCACATGCCGCATGACATGATGGGAAGGTTCAGGGCAGGTACCGATGCATCACGATGACCTCTAGGGGACAAGGCGAGCATCTGGAAGAATGAGGGAGTCATATGATATGTGCTATAGCAGCAGAGGAGTGTTGAGCAGTCAGGGAGTCGCAGCCATTATTTGTTATTTATCTCTGGGCGGTGATATGCACTGACACACAACAGCCACCAAAGACCAAGGGGAAATAACCTAACACACCCAGCAGTATGGGTGGAGGCAGTCTGAGACAACTGAAGGGTATAAAGTATTTCGAGGTGGAAAGGAGCAGTAAGATGATGCAGGGTAGTCCATAGGAAGACCTAGAAAAATAAAACAAAGCCTTGATGCCTGAAACAAACATGAATCGAAGCTCCGGAGTATTCATCTCCGAAGAATTGAAAATAAACAAAGGTCGCAAGCACTGACACCTAGCATAGGATCGTGCTCGTGGGGATAGAAATTGCTAGAGAGACTTGGTTAATTTTATTTTGCTATGTAATACTCATGGGAGCTAATGTTTCGACGGTGGAGATAATTCAATCGACGAGTCAGGCCTATTGGCAAAGCTAGGATCGGTTGTAAATTGCTAAGTTTGACACTTTCGAATTTCAAGGGTTGCTGAGATGGTAACTCTGATACACTGAGATGGTGAAGATCAAACTTGTTTTTACTTTACTTTACATTGTACATTTTATACTACAGCCATGACCCTGCGACCACCCGGAGATAGATAACAAATACTCGCCACAACTCCATTGACTGCTCAGCACCCATCCGCCACTACACCATGCACCATACGACTCCCTGGTCCCTCCATATGCTCATCCTAGCTCCTGGAGGTTGTCCTGATGTGTCACTACCTGTCCTGAGCTTTCCCATCACACTGTGCGACTTGCTGGTCACATGCAAATTAACTCCAGGCGCTTGCTGACTGATGCTGGCCTCATGGTCACAGATTTACATCCGCAAGCTCGGTAATTTGATGGATATGAAGGAGAGGAAGTACTGGAAGTCAGGCATGAGGATGACCCACAACTAGACAGGTGCCCACGGCTACCGGAGATAATTCATGTCGAAGTTGCTTCTTCTTGAGTCACTCCAGAGTGCCTGACCTTGGAGCTGAATCTTCATAGGGATTCGCACTTGCCTTGAGGATGCTAGAATGCCCAGAGTTAAATTGAACCATCATTGTTAGTCAGTTGCATCCTAGAGGTGTGTGAGAAGTGTGTCGAATAGACTCTGTAGGGTGTGGAGGAAGCATTAATTCCGTGATTTCGGGAGTCAGACGATTGTGGATGCTTATCAGTGGCTGCAGGGTCATTTCTGTAGTATAAAGTGCATGATGTAAAGTAAAGTAAAAACAAGTTTATTCTTAGCAACCCTTGAAGTTCAGATGCATTGAACTTAGCGAATTACAATCGTCCTAGCTTTGCCAATAGGCCTGATTCACTGTATTAGATATCTCCGCTGTCAAATATTAGCTCCCGTGAGTGCTGTTTTAAAGAAATAAAATTAACAAAGCATCTTTAGAGAAGTACTACCCCATGTGCACAATCCTACAAGAGGTGTCAGTGCCTGTGGTCAGGTCTTTTAGTGACCTGGGGAGATAAATACTCCAGAGCATCATAGCTTTGTTTGTTTTAGGCCTCAAGATTTTATCTTATTATGCTAGGTCTTCCTATGAACTCACCTATGCCATCTTACTCCTCCCCTCTCCCTTGAACCTGATTATTCACCTGTTGCTGTAGGATTAATGTATTAGATCCCCTTTGTTACTGTAAGCCCTTTTACATTAAGCAGCCTTTACAATTGTATATTTTTCCCTCGCTACATGGAGATGGCATGGGTATGAAACGGTGAGTCTGTCAAGGTGGCCATGGGAATAGTCACGTGATGTTGAATATGCGTACCCCTACTAAGGGGGTGCGATCCGCGGCAGACCATTATATGCTGACTGCCCTCCACCTGCCTTATAAAGGAGGCATTTAATTGGTCACCTTTGGGAGACTACCCACTGCTCTTGAAGCATTTCAGCTACTGCCATTTTTGGCATGCTTAGTCAGACTCGGTGATCTCGGGGAGATGATTTGTTCCAGCCGTCCACCAATGAGCGCCCTTGTATTTCTCATATCTCTGAGTTACATTCTCACAGGATAGCTTACGTGTCCTTTCTTGTTGTTCACTTCTTTGGGTATTAACCCCTATACCAGTTACTATATATACTGTAGGAAAACCCATGTATTCCTTAGTTCAACCTCCTGTTGAATACAGTGATTACCTGCACTCTGGACTTGACTGTTGGCATTGGCCCGGCCAGACCTACCTTTCAGTATGCTTACTGAGGTAGTGACGACATAACTGTTGGCACGAGGCCTAGTTATCTCAAGACAACTAGTTAGGACATCACTTCCTAACACACGGTGTATGTCACACCAGGAAGGACATCTGAATTTTGTTCGGACAGACTGCGCTTGTTGTCTGCGGTGGCTGAAGGTTAGATAGCTTACATTCCGGCACTCTTCGTACCTGACTTCCTCTCTTGTCCTGGTATGTAGCCATATCTACTTCTGCTTATTTTTCTTCTGCTTATTTTTTGCTACTCTCCGGTACCCTAATCGAGTCCAGGCATTCTGTGAAAATATGCTGTCTCATTAAATCCGGGTTCCAGAAGCCAGTGAGTTCTCTTCGTCTTCATTCTTCCGAGTCTGAGCACAAGTTTCTGGTGTAGCACCCATGAGTAACATACCACTCTCGTAGCCGTTTGTGATGCTTTAGAGCTTTCTTGCTGTCCATGGCCTGCTGGTGCATCAAGCTGTAACTCATTCCATTTAGTAAGTTCATACTGGCTTCCAGGACATGAACCTGACTCATTTATAGTGGCACAATGTTACGGTAAGCTCTCTAAAAGAAGAATATTGCACTGATGTGGCTCTCAGTAGCCCAGAATGCCTGATGCCATCCGGGCATTCCAGTTCTGCCACTCCCTCATATACACCAGGGAACAAGAATAAAGCTCCCATATGTATTCTAATACTCTATCATGTAAATTATATGCTGACTCCATTCCATTTTTGGCTGTCTGTACTGCTTCATCAACTTCTTTTCCCCTGCCTCCTCCCTACCTAGTTAAGTGCATCTCTCCCATCGTTCCGGACACTTCTCTGACAGTCTAACATGCGGGCTACATAGAATATGACTACCAAAATGCAGTTCCTCTGGTATATCAAGGTAGGCACTCCTTTACTGACCTCTATATTTTATTTTGTCATGTGCTACACTTGCCACACACTCATATCCAAACTGTATCATGCTGTAAACGTACGATACTCTGTAATAAAGTAATGTCATACATGCTTTCAAAATATAATATGATTTATCTAGAATTTTAGCAAATGTGACTGGACCCATATACAACAGGCTGCTCCACCGCCGCCACCAACGATGAGGAGAGCAGCAGGTGACAACCACTGTGTTATTCTGTGTTGTTCCTGTGGCGCTGGGTAGCCGAATATGTACTCTACACAAGGTGATATATATCACATTTTTATCCCACTGCAGTGACTCTGTAGCACGCTGTCACTAGTGACGTCGGGGAGGGCGGGATGGAGGCGCACGGTTTCCCAATCAGGTAGTCCAGCAAGCACCGACGACGCCCGACGATGTAGGCGGCGGCTTCAAGCAACACTGTGTCTTACAGTACTACATAGTATACTACTTGTACTAAGACAACCCTGAGCCCCGGTACGACCACTGGTGTCAGTCAATGAGCAGTCCTGAGCCTTGTTAGGCTTGACCGGAGGTCAGATGAGCCAGCCTAATTAGGCCTGGGACCTGGGCTGTCTAGGTGCATGTGATAGGATGTTGTTGTGAGTGTTTCCACAGCTGTAGGTGCATTGGCTGTCCCGGGGTGGTGTGATATAGGTGTTTTTGAGGATGACTGGTGCCAAGTCACCAAGGGTGGTCTGGGTGGGCCCAAAAATGATGAACATGGCGGTACATGTGAATACACACTAAGGGAAGTGTGTTATAACCCATAGTGACACAAGTGGTAGCCATGGGAAGTCCGTAAAAGGAGTACTACCCAAAAGCGGTAGTTAGCCACCTGTTGCTCAAAATCTCTTGGAGTCTTATGCAAACATGTAGCCTTATATGGGTTGAGTAAGATCTCCAAATGTCCAGCAATGTGGCATAGTAATAGTGTGGGAAAATGCGAAAAACTGTCCCAGAGCCGGCGGTGAAAATACTTTTTGTACAGCAATGCACAGCCCACGGTACGTACACATGATTAGGACAAGCACTCCTTATTCCTATACACTATTGTAACTGCTACATTAGTAACAACATTGACGGTA